TAGTACCCCACTAGGCAAACATAGGAATGACGCGCATGAGGGAAATGATTTTGCAGTACACCGTGCAAAGATGTTTTGACACGGGTTGAATTTATACAGTTTAGTGAAAGTGTGATGAAGCAAGGGACAGAATTCTAAGAATCAATGAAAAAAATTAGCGGCGATAGCTCTTATTGGTTCAAAGCATCTTGATGATTCCCACCCTACCGTAATCAATGATACGACGATCGATGACTAGTTCTATGCTGTAAAACTGAGCTGAAACCAGCTCTACAAAATCTTTGCAAAAGTCATTGGTAGTTGTTCGATTGTTATCAACTTTCTTGCAATGAAGTCTTCCGAGAAGTTTTGGGTGCCGTTTTGTAGAGCTGGGTTCAGTTTTTAGATCTATAGTATGGAGGGATCAAAAATCTGTCTTCAGTAAGAACTTGTAGCATATGAGGTCACTGGAAAAAGACGTTTGAAAAAATTCCAAAAAAATTGAAGAATTGTGTAGCAAGGCTTTCATTTATGTTGATTTCAGTACACAATTTTTTTGCTTTCGTACAGCTTTTCAGATAAATTCGTTGTTGTGGTATAACTGGCATAACTTATGAAAAATGCGTTACGGCGAAGTGCGTTAGTGTGAGTTTCATGTTTGGACAGCGGCTCTGATTTGATTGTCGGAGCTTTCAACTGCTTCAGGGGTGAAATATAACCCTTTAGAGCGGGCACACTTCACGCGATTTCAGCCGCGATGCGATTTGGCAATTCGCCAGAAATCTTCAGATCCAACACCGGCAAACTGCACAAGCACAGTGGGTATAATTTGAGAGGATTGATGAAACACCCTATCTTCTGTACATTTGAAATGTGCTTACAGTGAGTTACGGACAGTTGGAATATTGCCAAATCGCGTCGCGAATCGCGTGAAGTATGCCCGGCCCTTTGTAATTACTAAAATTTTCCTCAATGTCCCTGCCTCAATCCTGCAGTAATAAGAGGGATTTTTGATTTGCACCATACTGTAAATCTAAAGCCAGCTCTACAAAATGGTACCCAAAGCTTTTCGAAAGACTTCATCAAGGAACTCATTAACCACTGAAAAGTAGACACATCTTTTCGAAACAGTCTGTGAATGGGTTATGCTTTCATCACTTGAAAGTTCCCTTAGAGTTTTTTGCATACTTTTTTTTTCTTCCAGCCTTCATTCTGTAGTTCCGTATCTATTGCCGTAAAATCTTTAATCAGGAAAAAAAAATTTGTTTTGAAACACATGTGATGCTCGCTAGGGATTTGTGCTACGAATTGCATATTGAGATATAATTTTAAAAAAGTTGGTCCTATAAATTTCTAGCATAAACATGACCCATCGCTGCGGTACTTATAATTCACATAAGATTTATGAACATTATGCAGTTACAGAATTTTTGCCCTGTACAGTGAGATTAGGTCTAGAAAACTTTATTTCTAGACGAGAAAGATTTTTTAATCGTTAGTCGCGAACAAAGTCAAAAATTTTAAAGAAGTGTAGACTGAACAATATAAAATAATACTGAACAATATCAAAGAAGTGTATTTTTTGCCACCTCAAAAAGAGCGAAATAAGTGGGCCCTTTTGAATTTTTCTGCAAAAAAAAATATTTGAAATGAATTCGGAAATTATGGACTCGGCTCATCCGACCATTGACTACCATTTTTCAAAAGGATTATTTCAAATCATATTCGAACATTGAAAACGGGTGGAAGTTTTGAGCAAACCAATGCTTTCGGGCACTCTGTATAACTTATTTGTTATCCCCCCTTTTTTTTCAAAGGTGGCTAAAATGATTTGCAGAGCTGAAACGCAAAGCAAAGCTAAAAGTAGAAAGTAAAGCCAAAAATTGACTCTATACAGGGTGGCCGGTAAGTATGGGCGTTACAACATGTAATATATCTTCTTTCTGAAATATCCTATCATGGCGGCCAATATGCGTATAGCTTCTGAACAGCCTCTATATTAAGATAAATGAAAATCAAGCGAACTGAAGCCTTCTGGTGCAAACGGGACTCCTGAGTCTACATTCTCTTGAGAGGCGCTGCGGCGCGTTCAGTTAACACCATATTTGTATTACTGTATCTTGTCTTGGAGAGGAGAATTTTCTGCTGTTACAGCACTTTGTTATTCCTCGGACTGTACTCTACGTAACCTCAGGTCTTAGAACATATTCAATTAATATTCGGGTTATTTCAACCGATTCGCAATGGGTACATTCTTCAAGTAGTATTTTTGACGCATCGACTTCAAGGTCAGCTGCTGAAGTCTGTATGCATGTGCAGGAACCCAGTCTTGCAGGATTAACACATTAAGATGCCTCTGTTTTTGGAATACAAAAATAATCTTACAGAATTTTGTCTGCTATGAAAAATCACTAAACGAAAAATGTGACGCCCATACTTTTCGGCCACCCTGTATACATCTGGGTTTCACACTCTATCAGACAAATTTTGCAGGCTTCTCATACTTGTCGAGTTCTCCAAAGTGTAGAACGAAGATGTCTTCTTGAGACAAGATAGATACACAATTTTTTAGATAGTTCTTCAGATTCGGATTATTTATTTGAGAAATTTCAGAATTTCAGATTATATGCATGAGGATAGGAGAAAAATAAGAATAGATGCTTGACAAACAGTTGCCACAATGTCATATTCGATCAAACAGTTGTAAGGCAAAGTTGGACTCCCGTGCTTGACTTAGCGCAAATAATTTTTCTGGAATGTTCTGGAAAATATGATAAGTGGATTCCGAAATGACTATTGCGTATCCATAGGATTTGTGTGCTGAAGAATTGGAAGAGATAGATGAGTAATGGGGAAGGAACTTTACAAAGGCGACTAAAGTTCATGGGAAGGAAGATACGATAGCTGCTTCGCCGTTGCACGTGCTTCAAAACTCGTATAAAACTTTCGCAACTCCTGTTCAGATTATTTTTCTCATCGTTCTCTTTAGTCTTTGACGCTGTTTTCTGATCGGCAAAATATTGTAAAGCTGTTTTATTACTCATTTTTGTAGACGGGGGCGGGGGATGGGGGGGGGGGGGTAGAGAGGCGAGCATTCGTTTGAAAATTACAGAAAAAAACCTGTTTTTTCCTAGATCGAGTGACACTTGTCGGACCATTTCCTTTCTCTTCATTCCCCTTTTTCCTCCATGAACTGCTAAAATCGTCTCTGTTCATAAAAAAATTTCATGCAAATCGTATGCTGTAGCAGGCAGTGAACCTAGTTTCAAAAAATTATGGAAGAAAATAGAATTCTTTGACCGCACTTCTTGTTACGCCAGGTCTCAAGAATTACACAATATAAATAATTCTATGTCATTTCGAATCTACAGCATGCATCGCATTTCGAATGGAACAGTCTGAGTCATCGTATGAAAGCCGCGAATGTTTGGAATATCAAGATCTAACGATCGATTGGATTTTTTTCGTAGAGATTTTGAATTTTAATTATATGCTGCGATTTTATTGCTAGATTAGATCGTTTATCTAGGTTGAGTCAAAGGCAACGGAAATTTTTTCCTCTTGTTCATTTTTGCGCAAATCATATATTATAGAATAGCTAAACAAGAAACAATGCACTTCAAACAATGTTTGACGCTATTTTCTTCTTCTTTTTAGCACACTTTGCGCAAATGAATTTCTTTTAAATTGCTCGAAAAATTCTCAAAAATTTGCACCTATCATTTTCGCATTGTGTAACTCTAACAATTGACTATTCAATGTCTCCTACTCTTTAAAAACTTCATTTGTCGAGTTATTTATTTTCATAATCTTTAGTTCATAGTTAGTGGGAATTAAGATTAATAATAGAATCCATATTCATTATTATTATTCATGATTCAATAATAGGATCCTCTAAAGCGCAAAATTAGGTTTTTTCCTAAAATATCTTTCCTGATTTTCTATGATGATTCTTCCAAAAGCTCTCAATTTTCAAAAGAAAGCTAGAAAATAAAATAACACGATGGGAATTTTGAAACACTTGCGCCGTAAAATGTGATAATACGAACTTTGGTCAGAATTTCTGCAATTATTTCAGCATTGATAAAAAGATTCAGTGAAAATTATAGCTGCTACAATGAGAAAGTAGCTTTGTGTATAGTTTGAAGTTTTGTCATGTTTGTCATATCTGCTCAAAAGATAGAGTTGAAAAAGCATGTAAATCTCTTATATTTAGCTCGCCCTAGTTTGTCTTTAAACAGTTACACATTTCTTTGGAACAAATTGAGTAAAATTTTTTAGCAGATTTGCAAAACTACAATTCGATCTACGATCGGGAACAACTTGAAAGATTGTGAGAGATATGAAAAACATAAACATAATCGAACGGGCGCTGTTCCATCGTGAATTTTTTCTACTCACGCCGGCTACATCTTTTCTTCTATTACTAGCGCTCTACTCGGTACAGGTTTGCTCTCCAAATTTTATTCCATATGTATTATGAGAAAAAAATACTCCTATGAATTAGAGATAGTATTTGAAGTTCTATTGGCATATTAGAAACTATCGTTGTCCATATTGCCCAATTACTCACATAAATTTCATCAACTAGCAGTCACTTTTATAAAAAAAAATAATTTTTGTATATTTTCTCTCAGCGGTAAACTAGCTAGCAGTCTTTATGTGGAAAATTCACATCTTAAAAAAATATTTATTCAAGGTGAACTGGAAACAATCTTTGCTCTCTCCTCAAAAGAATTAATTAAGAAAACAACAAGATAACCAAATAAAAAAGAAGTGTAGCTGCTTGGTTGGAGCGAGATTACAAATTTTTGGTATTAGGCGTACAATTTCAACAAAGAAAAAATTTTTGATATTAGGGTACTAGATTAGCATATTTATTTTAAAGACTCAGATGATCCTAGTTTTGTTCCCAGTCATTTCCCGCAAGTCTTCCACATTGTAACAACGTAACTCAATTTGATTGTGAAACAACCAGTGATTCAAAACGATGTATACCATTAGAATGGTTGTGCGATGGTATGAAGGACTGCGAAAATGGCTTGGTATGGAGTTTATTCATAAATTTCAATTTTTTTCAAAAAGAAATTGTAAATAGGATGAATCTCATTGCTCCTATCTTCACACATGCCCACCAGGAGACTTTTTATGCCGAACGGGTGAATGCGTTTCGGGAAAGTACAAATGCGACGGAACCTTAGATTGTCCTGGAGGTGAAGATGAAAGGAGTTGTGATTACTCCGACCAGGTAGCGGCAGCGGCAAGGTATGGATTTTTCGTTGCAGGATTTTTGAGACATTAGCTATTCCCTTCAGAATTTTTAGTTCGATCATCACGGATTGTCCGGAGCATATGTTCCATTGCTCTCTTGGCCCATGTGTGGCTAGGAAATACCTCTGCGACGGAGAATATGTATACTTCAGTAGATATGGCGGTTATAATAGTGCTGCTTTGCCAACAACATTTGCGCGTATGCGATCTGCGGCGAATGTTTAGCATGGTACAAGCAAGGTCGACGGGGGTAGAGGACTATAGTCGCCGAAAAAGGGTGGTCCCCGCGGTCATTTGCGACAAATACGCACCCTTGTACATGCGCGGACATGCGTTCCTTCAGGAAATCCGCGCGGGACTCTTCCACATTCGGCGACATATAGTCCTCCACCCGGTCGACGGCATTCGCAATCACGGCAATCGTGTACGCGCAAATGTTGTCGTCACCGTAGGCGCACTCTAATAAGCGTCAAATTTACTGGGATGTAACACCTCAGCAATTTGAATCGTCAAAGATCTGCCTCCAGGATTGTCCGCTGGGAGATGATGAGGACGACTGTACCAAGAACAACCGCTCAGAGCTCCGAAGTCATGAGCTCACCTCATGTGAACCGGGTCAAATTCTATGTGCGGATCATACAGCCTGTTTCCCAAAGAACTGGGTATGTGACGGGGAAAAGGATTGTATGGACGGTAGCGATGAAGACGATTGTGAGTTGTCCGTAGACAACTTCTTAGCTGAGCCTGTAACTGAGTTATGCAAAGCTGGAGAGCATAGATGCAGGGGAGGTACGGTAATGCCCGATTCTTCAACCATTTTCGATATGTTATAACCTTAACCATTTGACCTATAGGTAAGGTTTGCATACCTTTGAATCACACTTGTAATGGGACTCCCGACTGCCCCGATCAAGACGATGAAGGCCCACTTTGTAATGAATGCAGCACAAGGAAGATCCGTTGCGAGTACAAATGCGTTAACACACCGTTGGGTCAGTTTACCGAAGTATTATAAGGGATTTTGGAAGATACGTTTCAATTTCCGGTTCCCACTGTATTTGTCCCCACGGGTCGCAGTTAAACTCAGATGAGCATACATGCTCACAGATCAATGAATGTGAAACTATAAAAGGGAAACGCTGTCAGCATTATTGTGAAGATCGACATGCTAGGTGAGTCAAAAATCCTGTCCTAGATTTAAAAGTGGGGACAAAAGGAGATTAGCATTAAGAGCCGCTTATCTTTTTTTCTTTTTCTCATACTATGGTACAGTCGAGTAGATTTCCTGCTTAATATAGTGTCCCTGCAGACGCGACAACGCTGGGGCGTCAATAATTGTCTTGCGAGTTCCCGAGCTAGTGTTTTCCAGTGTTTTCTTTGCTTATTTCATGCTTTTTAGTTGGTTCGTTGCTGATAAAGAGGAAAAGGGTAAGTTAGAGAGTAGCTTCTGTTTCCTGAAAACTTCTATCATCGCATATTCACAGATATCCACGTGGAAGCAATTCGCGTCAGCTTCTTGTCTAATTTTTTTGTCATTTGCTTTTCTTCTGTTACTTCTTCTTTCAGAACTCCTCCTCTTTCTTGTGAGGCGTTTCTTCGAACGCTAGTTGGCTTGTTTTGCAGCAACTTCGGTTTTCATCCATAAGAAATAGCATTTTAATCAAGTACTTCATGTGATAAAGACAATAAGTCAGTCACTCGTAAAAACCCACTAGCGTTCAAAGAAGTACCTCACAAGAAGAAAGAGACATGAAGTGACAAAAAATAGACAAGAAGCTGACACGAACTGCTTCCACGTGGATATCTGTGAATATGCGATGATAGAATTTCTCAGAAAACAGAAACTACTCTTTAACTAACCCTTTTCCTCTTTATCAGCAACGAATCACCTAAAAAGCATAGAATAAGCAAAGAAAACACTGGAAAACACTAGCTCGGGAACTCATCAGGCAATTATTGACGCCCCAGCGTTGTCGCGTCTGCAGGGACACTATATTAAGCAGGAAATCTACTTGACTGTAACTAACCGTTTTGATTTCAGCATTTATCTACAACTCGGACATGATCCATATATTGAATAAATCTTATGAATCGAATAAATCCGTAATAATATCCAATTGATCAATTTCCATCCTTTTGCTTCATATACCGTTTTCGGCTGTGCTCTTTCGCGTGGTACCAAAGGCTTTTTGAGTTCCTTCAAAAAAGTCCAGAAATTTCTGAAAATTGGGGTGTTCGTATGATGAACCGTACTTTTTCATTTTGCGCAACTGCCAAAGAGGATTATGGCACCAAGCCAGCTACTTTTAAGTTGTATTTGGGAGTTAAATTTGCCCTACATTTGCTGACAGCTAGAGTTTTCAAGAAGAGGGCGAGGGGGGGGGGGGAGGAAAGATAGAAATCGTATGAGGGAAAGTCATGTCTTGAAAATTTCGTATAGAACTAATTTGCAAAAATTCAAAAAAATTACCATCCACAAGTGGAAACACATCACTGGCAGTTTAATAAATTGAACATGTTTTTCCGCGACCCATTCAGGAAAAGTGGGGGGGGGGGGGAGGGGAGAGGGGGGGAGGTCCACAAACTAATGCTAGGTTGTCAAGAGCACCCAGAGAAGTATGGTAGTAAAACACTATCTAACTCTTACCTTTTCTTGAAGATTGCTTCTTTTTGGATTAAATCAAAAATCTTCTATTATGTATAAAATAGATTTTCGTCATAGGCAGGCCCAATGGCGCTCATTTTTTGCCATTTAGCTATGAATGCACTTGTGCACCCGGCTACCGCCTTGGCTTAGATGCTCACAGTTGTCGTCTAGATCGAACTCATGAAGGAATGCTCTTCGTTGCCCTTGGACACGAGGTAAGTTACCTTTATTTTGGGGATTTTACCTCAAAATCTATATTTCAGGTCCGTTCCATGCCACTGTTTGATTCACGCACTTCCGTAGCTGGATATGAAACTATACAAGCCGTTGGATCCCTGGGAGTGGTCCGATCAGTGGATTACCATATATCAGAGCAACTGCTCTACATAACTATAGCCGGCTCTAATCTGAATGGGGAAGTGGTAAGTGTATGGGGAAGGGGAAGGGTCCAAAAAAATATAGTTACAAAATTTTGAGTGATTTTTTGTAAGCAGTATCATCCGAAGGTCTTCTACGGGTTATTCGCGAAAATGTGGCAGGAATCGGACAAGTAGCTGTCGACTGGATTGGCGGGAATATTTTCCTGACTCAAAGATGTTAGACACTTTTTTTTCTACCTGGGTTACAGCTTTCCTAGGACTATAGTAATCCGCTGAATTTTTAGATCCGTCGCTCACCCCAGGAATCAGCATCTGTACAAAGGATGGATTTTTCTGTCGTCGAATAGTCAACGGAAAAGCTGCTGATCCTATTGATCAAGGGAAAAAGCAACAATACAGAGGTACGAAATTGCTGTGGCAGAGAAAATTATGTGGCTGATAGGCTCCGCTTATGCGGAAAACTGGCTTGAGCTGTATTGCGTAGAGATGCCTCGTTTGTGGCAGATGTCGAGCTGGACGTAGCCTAGCGGCGACAGAACGTCTGCTACCCAGATTTTATTCCCCATTTGATTATACAAACAATTTGACTTAGGACTAGCCCTGCACCCACAACGAGGTGCTATGGTCTGGATTGAATCTTACGGTAGCCACCATAAGATTGTTAGTGCAAATATGGATGGTACAAATGTGAGGAACCTGGTCGAGAACAAACTCGAATATCCAACTGGATTATCGATCGATTTTATTAGAAGCGATGTTTACTTTGGTGATGTGGAAAGACAAATGATTGAGCGCGTGAACATGGATACAAAGGAGAGGTTGGTCATAAACTGTTTCCAAACAAATGATCCAAACGACTGCGCAGATGCAATCAATGAAAGTATACATATTATTCTCATTGGATCTCATGTAATTTAATGATTTTGGAAAGATTATGGTTTGGACAAAGATAAAATTACTAGAGCAATATTTTGTTCCATACCTACCTAGAATATTCTAGCAGTGTAATAACGAACTTCCAAAATAGCGATGGTTAGAAAAAGATAAAGGTTTATTCAGAGATATGCGTGTTCGGGCATCAAATTCTGAAAAACCAGTCAAAACAGGTGACCTAATCCATCAATCAGTTCATACACAAGAAAAGATTCAATCACTTTTTTGGAAGAAGTGCCTTGAAAAAAGTTTGTGAAGCGAGATCTGCAAACGACCTCTGAATTTATATTTGCAAATTAAAATTTCAACTGAAAACATGAAAACTAGTTTAGGACCGTGGTTCTGACTCAAGGAGTCTATCATCCATATGACGTGAGATACTTCAATGGATTTTTATACTGGACTGACTAGTACAGATTATTTTGAGACTATTGGGAGCCCTGACCATGGAGCAATTTTTAGGGCCACCTTCGCGCTGAAGGTGTCTGAGCTGAGTATTCATCATGAATCTGCTCGTTCAATACATTCGTTTACAACCTTACCATATGGTCTGGCGATCAATCATACGATGTTCCAGGTGAAAGCAAATTTTGTTCTTACACAAAAAACAGAAGATCCTGATTTATCCACAGAAAGCCAGCTTTGATTTCTAATGCATCATAAACCTCTGAAACTACTCGTACATTTCATCTATGACTCAAAAACGTACCCATTCGGTCCTCACTCTCTACGAATCCATGCGCCCATAGTGCTTGTTTATGGATATGCGTGTCGATTCCGAACACTGAGGGTGAGATGAAACCACGATGTTTGTGTCCTGATGGGTACAAAAAGGAGAAAGACGGCAGCTGTGCACCTCTCGAGGACATATTGGAGGATAACGAGCATGGGAAGCCTTTAATGAAGAAGAATGAGCTTAAGGTAGAAGATTAGCCCAAAAGTGTAGATTTGAGGGCACTGCTTCGGCAAAAGTTTAGCTGAGTTTACTGGAGAAATGTGGAATTCTTACTGAGTCATTAGCGAAGCCGCAACTCATAAAATCCATTCACTACCAAAAGATGCATTTCTAAACCCCTGCGCAAGTAGAGTTTAGTTTTTCCGAGCAGACCATCAGCGTCCTTAGATACGGTATCGGGCGAGAGCTTAGCGTTCGGCTTCATGACCTGGATGGATGGTATGAGCTGCTGCTTGGAAGTAAATTAGCTGCGACTCCTCAATCACCACAATAAAAGTCCGGATATGCGATTTATACAGCTGATTTTTCTTTTCAGGACCAATCCCATATTGGAAGTGCTCTGATGAAAGAACATTGTCTACATGGTTGTCTGAATGGTGGACAATGTCATGACATCAAGAATGAGCATGGAACAACAGTCAAAATTGTTTGCAAGTACGAGTAGACATATAAGCGATTACTTTTTTCGAAAAACTGCCAGAAATTTCTTACTTTTACAGATGCAACACACCATATGAAGGTCTGCGATGTGAAAGATTTAATCACGTAAAAGCACTAGCCGCTCAAACCAGAGTGTCAGTTCCTAGTTTTGGATGACCTTATTTTTCACTCTTCCATCCTTCTATATATATAAAACCGAATGGGATTTTGTCTGTACACTGGTGGCTTGTCTGTACGCTGGTGGATAAGCATGCTTGTTGATGCTGTCTGTAGGTCCTCGATGGTGTTTTCGTGTTTGTCATTTTCCAGCATGGAAGCTTGTTATTACTTCTACCAAATTTATCGGTTATTTGTAAATTTTGAACTACGGGGCTGGGAATTGGCACAGGGGGGTAATCGAACATGCTGATTACGAATATGATAACCATTTTCAAAAATGCCCATTACTTTTATCATTTTATCGATTTTTTGGCAAAGTTCAAGCTACGGGGCTGGAAGTTGGCACACGGGGGTAATCGAGCTTGCTGATTAAGAATTTGATAACCATTATCAAAAATGCCCATTACTTTTATCATTTTATCGATTTTCTGGCAAAGTTCAAGCTACGGGGCTGGGAGTTGGCACACGGGGGTAATCGAGCATGCTGATTAAGAATTTGATAACCATTATCAAAAATGCCCATTACTTTTATCATTTTATCGATTTTCTGGCAAAGTTCAAGCTACGGGGCTGGGAGTTGGCACACGGGGGTAATCGAGCATGCTGATTAAGAATTTGATAACCATTATCAAAAATGCCCATTACTTTTATCATTTTATCGATTTTCTGGCAAAGTTCAAGCTACGGGGCTGGGAGTTGGCACACGGGGGTAATCGAGCTTGCTGATTAAGAATTTGATAACCATTATCAAAAATGCCCATTACTTTTATCATTTTATCGATTTTCTGGCAAAGTTCAAGCTACGGGGCTGGGAGTTGGCACACGGGGGTAATCGAGCATGCTGATTACGAAAATGATAACTATTTTCAAAAATGCCCATTACTTTTATCATTTTATCGATTTGTTTGCAAATTTTGGACTACGGGGTTGGGAGTTGGCACGGGAGGGTAAGCGAACATGCTGATTACGAATACAATACTGGTTTTTAGAATTATCAGTTATTTTTATCATTTTATCGATTTTTTTGCAAAGTTCAAGCTACGGAGCTAGGAGTTGGCACACGGGGGTAATCGAGCATGCTGATTACGAATACAGTATTAGTTTTTAGAATTATCAGTTATTTTTATCATTTTATCGATTTTTTTGCAAAGTTCAAGCTACGGAGCTAGGAGTTGGCACACGGGGGTAATCGAGCATGCTGATTACGAATATGATTACCATTTTCAAAAATGTCCATTACTTTTATCATTTTATCGATTTTTTGGCAAAGTTCAAGCTACGGGGCTGGAAGTTGGCACACGGGGGTAATCGAGCATGCTGATTACGAAAATGATAACTATTTTCAAAAATGCCCATTACTTTTATCATTTTATCGATTTGTTTGCAAATTTTGGACTACGGGGTTGGGAGTTGGCACGGGAGGGTAAGCGAACATGCTGATTACGAATACAATACTGGTTTTTAGAATTATCAGTTATTTTTATCATTTTATCGATTTTTTTGCAAAGTTCAAGCTACGGAGCTAGGAGTTGGCACACGGGGGTAATCGAGCATGCTGATTACGAATACAGTATTACTTTTTAGAATTATCAGTTATTTTTATCATTTTATCGATTTTTTTGCAAAGTTCAAGCTACGGAGCTAGGAGTTGGCACACGGGGGTAATCGAGCATGCTGATTACGAATACAGTATTAGTTTTTAGAATTATCAGTTATTTTTATCATTTTATCGATTTTTTTGCAAAGTTCAAGCTACGGAGCTAGGAGTTGGCACACGGGGGTAATCGAGCATGCTGATTACGAATACAGTATTAGTTTTTAGAATTATCAGTTATTTTTATCATTTTATCGATTTTTTTGCAAAGTTCAAGCTACGGAGCTAGGAGTTGGCACACGGGGGTAAAGGATATTCGTTGACGACAGCCCCGTTTCGTGCATTTACACCATCGCGGGCGTGCCTTTTTGAAGCCTTTCCAGCTTTACAGTACGCTACAGCGCGCAGGGAATTCACAGCTGGCAGCATGCCCGTCCTTTAACTTCTTTTTGTTGTTTGAGTATTTCACATCGTTTTTTCTCCTTAATTTTCATTTTAGGCAGTTACACATTCTCATACACGCAGAACCATTGCTCCGGGAAGAATCGGAAGGAATAATGAGTTTTCTTCAAAGTTGCAATGGCGGATATCGTGGCTATGATTGGGAATGCAATGTTTTTTTTCAGTGTTTCATAATGATTTGCCTTTTTTTCTCAAGAGAGACTGCTGAAGTGGCTGTTTCAGCACTTCTACATCAAGGAGACATGTAGGTGTGCTAAAATAAACATTTCAGTGGTCTTGCTTGAGGAGAAGGCATGATAGCCATCACTGCTCATGAAGAAAGCACATTCCTTCCCATCCCCCCCCCCCCTAACTATGCCGGGATGATAGTTTACGATTCTGAAAATGTTTGTATGGTATGTAAAAAGGAGCATGAATTCAATAACTGTACTAAAACTTTTTTCCTGCTCTTTCAATATCCACAAAGCAGAACTTGTAGGATGCTCGACCGGGACAACTTCAAAGAAAAGGAGAACGAGTAACTGATGAGCAAGTGCCTGAACTGAAGATTAAAAAGGAAAAAGATGAGAAAAAGATGAGAAATGCGGAAGAGTTTAAAGGACAGGGATGCTGCGAGCTGCGAATTCCCTGCGCGCTGTAGCGTACTGTAAAGCTGGAAAGGCTTCAAAAAAGCACGCCCACGGTGGTGTAAATGCACGAAACGGGGCTGTCTTCAACGAATATCCTTTAATCGAGCATGCTGATTACGAATATGATAACCATTTTCAAAAATGTCCATTACTTTTATCATTTTATCGATTTTTTGGCAAAGTTCAAGCTCCGGGGCTGGAAGTTGGCAAGGGAGGGTAAGCGAACATGCTGATTACGAATACAATACTGGTTTTTAAAATTATCATTTACTTTTACCATTTATCGATTTTTTGGCAAAGTTCAAGCTACGGGGCTGGGAGTTGGCACACGGGGGTAATCGAGCATGCTGATTACGAATATGATAACCATTTTCAAAAATGTCCATTACTTTTATCATTTTATCGATTTTTTGGCAAAGTTCAAGCTCCGGGGCTGGAAGTTGGCAAGGGAGGGTAAGCGAGCATGCTGATTACGAATATGATAACCATTTTCAAAAATGTCCATTACTTTTATCATTTTATCGATTTTTTGGCAAAGTTCAAGCTACGGGGCTGGAAGTTGGCAAGGGAGGGTAAGCGAACATGCTGATTACGAATACAATACTGGTTTTTAAAATTATCATTTACTTTTATCATTTATCGATTTTTTGGCAAAGTTCAAGCTACGGGGCTGGAAGTTGGCAAGGGAGGGTAAGCGAACATGCTGATTACGAATACAATACTGGTTTTTAAAATTATCATTTACTTTTATCACTTATCGATTTTTTGGCAAAGTTCAAGCTACGGGGCTGGGAGTTGGCACACGGGGGTAATCGAGCATGCTGATTACGAATACAGTATTAGTTTTTAGAATTATCATTTACTTTTATCATTTATCGATTTTTTGGCAAAGTTCAAGCTACGGGGCTGGGAGTTGGCACACGGGGGTAATCGAGCATGCTGATTACGAATATGATAACCATTTTCAAAAATGTCCATTACTTTTATCATTTTATCGATTTTTTGGCAAAGTTCAAGCTCCGGGGCTGGAAGTTGGCAAGGGAGGGTAAGCGAGCATGCTGATTACGAATATGATAACCATTTTCAAAAATGTCCATTACTTTTATCATTTTATCGATTTTTTGGCAAAGTTCAAGCTACGGGGCTGGAAGTTGGCAAGGGAGGGTAAGCGAACATGCTGATTACGAATACAATACTGGTTTTTAAAATTATCATTTACTTTTATCATTTATCGATTTTTTGGCAAAGTTCAAGCTACGGGGCTGGAAGTTGGCAAGGGAGGGTAAGCGAACATGCTGATTACGAATACAATACTGGTTTTTAAAATTATCATTTACTTTTATCATTTATCGATTTTTTGGCAAAGTTCAAGCTACGGGGCTGGGAGTTGGCACACGGGGGTAATCGAGCATGCTGATTACGAATACAGTATTAGTTTTTAGAATTATCATTTACTTTTATCATTTATCGATTTTTTGGCAAAGTTCAAGCTACGGGGCTGGAAGTTGGCAAGGGAGGGTAAGCGAACATGCTGATTACGAATACAATACTGGTTTTTAAAATTATCATTTACTTTTATCATTTATCGATTTTTTTGCATGGTTCAAGCTACGGAGTACTCTGCGTTGATACCACTGCTTTCGAGCATGCCGATTACGATTGTAATAAGTGTTCTTAAAAGAACCTATTATTTTTGTCGATTTTTCTATTCTTTGTGAAATTAGAGCTACACGGCTGACATTGCACAAAGTTGTATGTGAGCACGCTCACTGCAAAGATAGTTTTTGATAATTTCCATTATTTTTATTGATTTCATCTTTTTTTTTCAAAGCTGAAGCTACGAGGCTCAGATGGCACTAATCCGGGGGTAAGTGAGCATGCTGAGAATTCTATAATCACACTCGGAAATGACGAAGGCGGTAAATTTACCTAAAGTTTTTATAAATTCACTTTGGCCCGCCTTTACCTTTTTGAATCCTACTTCTACCCCCAAAATCAGAAAAGCACATAGAGCTGGTTTCGAGGGAAGAAAATGCTTACAAACTGAGGCGGCAAGCAGTGGCGGACCGAGGGGGGGGGGGGCGTGGGGGGGGGGGGCGCCCCCCCCCCCCCCCGAGAATGGGTCGCGAAATTTTTGAAACTTACCTATATGGTATAAAA